ATTTCCATTGAGTACATTATACTCATCCTGTGTAGCTTCCTCCCAAAGATGTCTGTCATCACCTTTCATGGCCTGTTTGTAAGTCCATGGATCAGCACCAGCAGCCAATCCAGCAAACCAGACTTCCTCATAACTATCCTCATCATCAGCATCTCCAGGTTCATGTACCTTGTGAGTCACTTTCCACCATTCACCAGGAGGTCAACTCACTCAAGTTGAGTGACGTGGCTCAGGAGCCTCTGGTGGAGGAGGAGGTGAAGATGACTGTGGTGGTGAAGGTGATGGAGAATTTGGAGGAGATGGTGGAGGAGGAGATGGTTGAGGAGATGGTGGCTGAGATGGTGGAGGACTAGAGCCAGATGGAATAATAACAGGAGGTTCATCAGGCAAATCAGGAAGATTGGCCATCTGAGGTAAGGGAAGCTGTCCAGGTGGAGTGAGATCTACTTTAGCTACTGGGCCAGTAGACAAGCCAGGAAAGTAACGCTCATCAAACTCAGCTCGTTCAGAGATAATGATCTTCTTGGTGGTAGGATTGAAGAATGTCCAACCCTTGTAACCAGAGGGATATCCAAGAAAGACACATTTCTCCATGTGAGGCTGAAGCAATTTGCATTGGTCCTTTTGGACATACACATATGCAGTGCACCCCCAAACTCGCAAATGACTCACATCTGGTTTCTTCTTATGCCAGGCCTCAAATGGTGTAGTGTGAGGCAAAGGCGCAGTAGGAAGACGATTCCAGACATGAACATGAGCAGCAAGACAGTAACTCCAGAATGAAGGTGGTAGATGTGATTCAGTGATCATGGCAGTCACATCATCAGAAATTGTACGATTAGCACGTTCTGCTACTCCATTCATCTGGGGACGGTTGCGAGTGGTATGACATCAAAATATGCCACAATCATCTGTGAATTTGATGAAGGCAGTCAACATGTACTCCCCACCCTTGTCATCCTGCATTGACTTGATCTTGCATCCAAATTGATTCTCAGCATAAGCTTTGTACAACTTGAATGCATTGAAAGCATCACTCTTCTTCTTGAGCATCATAATAGCTTGGAAACGTGTGCAATCATCAATGAAGGTGATCCAGTAATGGTATCCTTCACGAGATGCAACAGGAAGAGGACCATGCAAGTCAGTATGGATGAGTTCAAGAGGTTGCAAAGAATGACTAGGTGAGGAGGGGAAAGGATTGGAGTGTATTTTGCTAGCTAGGCATGGTTCACATATGGAATCTGGCTGTTGCTGATTGTCCAAAACAAGTCCAGTGACTAACCCCTCTTGGATCATCTTTTTGACATCTTTGTAACTGTGATGTGCAAAACGACAATGCCAGAGATCCAGAGGTCTACTGAGGATGCTGGATTGATTCTGACTCATCTCGTGTGAGCGGGGTGGGTTAAAGGTCTCCAGACTAGCGCGCTGGCTTTTGACATCACGCAGTTCTTCCCTTCTATCAACCATGAGATGTTCATGGCTGTTCTTCGCAAGCAAGGGTTTTTGCCCATTCTGGTGGAATTCTTTGCCTCATACCTTGTAGGCCGCTCCACAGTTTACTGTTGGAACACCTTCCAATCCGACTCACGATCCGCGGATGTGGGTGTCGGGCAGGGCTCTGCTCTTTCGCCTGTTATCTCTGGGCTGTTCATTGCTCCGGTAATGAAGCTCTTCTACATCAAAGCGGCGCCACTCAACATGACGCTGCTCTCATTTGTGGATGATGGGACCATATTGGCCCAATCCAAACAACTGGATGATAATAATGTGGGCCTGCATAAGGCCTACAAAATTATCTACCTTCTCTTTGTTGCCTTCGCACTCGCTCTTGAACACGACAAGACCGAGTTGTTTCACTTTTCGCATCGACAAGATGCCTATAATCCCTCGCTGGATTTGGGGTATGCCCCGCATACCGGTGCTACACCTTTGAAGCCCAAGACCTGTTGGAGGTACTTGGGCTTCTATTTCGACCACAGGCTCACATTCCATGAGCACGTTCGCTACTACGCCACCAAGGCGTTTACCACCGTGCAGGCCATGCGCATGCTCGGGAACTCTACTAGAGGGCTCTCACCTAAACAGCGCCGTCTCTTATATAGGTCGTGTGTGGTCCCTATTGCCACGTACGGCTATCGTCTCTGGTATTTTGATGGTGCCCGGAATAAGGGCGTGATGAACCAGTTGAAACGGATGCAGCGAAAAGCTGCTCTATGGATCACGGGTGCTTTCCGCACCTCACCTTCAGGCGGTCTTGAGGCCCTCGCTGGTCTCATCCCTGTCCATCTCATGCTGAAGAAATTGGCTATGCGCGCAGTGTACCACGTAGCCACCCTCTCAGACACTCACCCTCTTTGCTCCATGTTGGGTGAGGGACTCCTCAAACGGGCTGAACCTCATGCCCGCTCAGCCACTTTGATGACCCCAGCTATGAGGGGGAAAGTCAAGAGCACTGTCATGGAGGTGGATGAGCGTGTCCACACCTTAACTGAGAGCTTTGAGCCTTTTGCGCCTGAAGCTCGCCCAGGCGATCGGTTACTGGACCGCTATGCAGACCGTCTCCATTTTGACGAGCGTGATCCTGGTCAGGACAGACGCCCATATCTAGACGAGCTCATCGCGAAAGCGAGGGCCAACCCCTTAACAGTACTGGCTGCAACTGATGGCTCTGTCCCTCAGTCCAACCAGTATCAGGCAGCTTCGGCAGCCATCATCTACAAGGGACACCGCAAGCTCGAGAGGACTTGCTATGTCTCTGGCAGAGTTACTGCCCCAGATGCGGAACTCAATGCCATCTCGTGCGCAGTGCGCCTTGCGGTCAAGCAGGCAAACTGCCAACATATTATGGTCTTTACTGACTCTATGGGCTCAGCCCATAGAGCGGTTGACCCGGCATGCATTCTGGTCAGGCTTTTAGCCTGTCAGTCTGTCGCGCTCTTCAAGAGTGGTTTGAGGCGGATGATCTCCGCCGCATTACCTTCATCTACGTCCCATCTGCACTGCGGTGGGATATTCATGGTGAAGCACACAAGTACGTCACCGAACTCAAAGTCAGGGTTGGACGTCGCAAGACGGATAACTCTATAGATGCGCTTCGCTCCCGAGCAGCGCACTCAGTCCTGGATTCGTGGAGCTCCACTTTCCAGGACCCAACTTACCAAGGCTCTGAATTCTTAGAGCTTCAACAGCCTGACGGGCGGCCGCTACAGCCATCGTACCTCAATGGGGGACCTTGGCTTTCAACCTTCGGACACAGTATCACTGAGTTCGCCCGCGTTGCCGGTGTATAACTGGCCACGCGCCCATTGGAGCGTATTACCGTCGCTTCAAGATCAATGAGCCTCATGGCTGCACTTGCGGGGCTGCTTTGCAGTCTCGCCAGCACATCCTCTTTCGCTGTCGCGATCGCTACTCCATGCATTACCCCCGCTTTCTTGGGGATATTGCATCTTTTATGAAGTACAACCCTATGGCGTTTGGCTTCAACTGGGACCCTTCGGGGGTCGGATAATCGCTGTGGGTGGGGTTATTCCTCCTTTTGGGGGATTTATGGTGAATTGACACCCTCGGACCTTAGGGTTCGGAGACCTGCACCTACCGCTATTTCTTCGCGCTTGCGGCCGCTATTGTAGCGGATTGCGGCGCCGCTAACTCTCTGCGTCTGGTTTCGGGCAGGCGCTTCTCTGGCTTGTCGGCCTCAAGACACCCTGCCACCTCCTGGGTGGTGCTGTTCTTATCTCATTTGCGCTGCATGGCCTCCGAACAGCGTCCGACGGCTTTGGGGTTTAGCGGGGCCTCGATGGTCTCTTCCCCTTATCCCACGTCACCGTTTTCGCGAGGTGGGTCTGGCTTTATGGGAGTTTAGGCGTTTGAGCCATAAGGCTCATGGTTGGGGGGGCGGACGTCTTTTAGTAGTTTACTTAGTACCCAGGCCGCGTAGTGTACGTGTTTGTAGATAGCAAGCGGGCTGCCATCGAGCACCGCTATATAAATTGTTGATCAAAAAAAAAAAAAAAAAAAAAAGACAGTGCCAGAGATTGAGATCAAGGGGAAGAGTGGAGATGCGATTTGCTGACTCCTCAATAGGCTCTGTGACTCCGTTCAACTGGGCACTGTTATTGGACAGGATGGGTGCTTGGAACAAGATCTGTCCATTATGCTTGAAATTCATATGAGTGCTGCCAATATGAATGTCAAAGCTCTTGTGATGTGTGAGATAGAGACAGGCCAATAAATTATTTCGGAGTTGGGGTACATGCAAGACAGGAGTTAATTCTACAGATTGAACCTTTTTTTTTTTTTAATCAACAATTTATATAGCAGTGCTCGATGGCAGCCCGCTTGCTATCTACAAACACGCACACTGCACAACCTGGGTACTAAGTAAACTACTAAAAGACGACCGCCCCCCAACCAAGACCCTTTGGGCTCAAACGCCGAAACTCCCCAGAGGGCAACCCACCTCGCAAAAACGGTGCATCGGGATAAGGGGAGGAAACCATCAAGGTTCCGCTACGCCCCAAAGTCGTCGATCACTGTTCGGAGGTCACGCAGCACGAATGAAATAAGAACAGCACCACCCGGGAGGTGGCAGGGTGTCTTGAGGCCGACAAGCCAGAGAAGCGCCTGCCCGAAACCAGACGCAGAAAGTTAGCGGCGCCGCAACCCGCTAGAACAGCAGGCTGCAGGCACGAAGCAGTTGTTGTGGGCGCAGGTCTCCGAACCCTGGGGTTCGAGGGTGTCAATTCACCAATAAATCCTCCAAAAGGAGGAATAACCCTGCCCACAACGATTATCCGACCCCCCAAGGGTCCCGGTTGAAGCCAAATGCTGTAGGGTTGTACTTCATAAATGATGCAATATCCCTGAGAAAATGGGGATAGTGTACAGAGTATCTATCGTGACAGCGAAAGAGGATATGCTGACGGGACTGCAGAGCAGCCCCGCAAGTGCAGCCGTGAGGCTCGTTGATCTTGAAGCGACAGTAATACGCTCCAATGGGTGTGTGGCCAGTTATGCACTGGCAGACATGAGTGAACTCAGTGATACTGTGTCTGAAGGTTGAAAGCCAGGGTCCCCCATTAAGGTACGATGGCTGGAGCAGCCCCCCGTCAGGCTGTTGAAGCTCTAAAAATTCAGAGCCTTGGTAGGTTGGATTCTGGAAAGTGGAACTCCACGAATCCAGGACTGAGTGCGCAGCTCGGGAGCACAGCACGTCTATAGAGTTGTCCCTCTTGCGACGTCCAACCCTGACCTTAAGTTCGGTGACGTATTTGTGTGCCTCACCATGGATATCCCACTGCAAAGCGGATGGGATGTAGACAAAGGTGATGCGGTGGAAATCATCCGCCTCGAACCACTCTTGGAGAGCACAACAGACTGCCAGACTAAAAGCCTGACCAGAATGTACAGAGGGGTCAACTGCTCTGTGGGCTGAGCCCATAGAGTCAGTAAAGACCATAATATGCTGGCAGTTTGCCTGCTTGACAGCAAGGCGTACTGCACACGAGATGGCATTGAGTTCCGCATCTGGGGCGGTGACTCTGCCAGAGACATAGCGAGTCCTTTCGAGCTCATGATGTCCCATGTAGATGATGGCAGCCGAAGCTGCCTGATACTGGTTGGACTGAGAGACAGAGCCATCAGTTGCAGCCAGTACTGTTAAAGGGTTGGCCCTCGCTTTCGCAATGAGCTCGTCGAGATACGGGCGCCTATCCTGAGTAGGATCACGCTCATCAAAGTGGAGATGGTCCGCATAGCGGTCCAGCAACCAATCACCTGGGTGAGCTTCAGGTGCAAAAGGCTCAAAGCTCTCAGTTAAGGTGTGGACACGCTCGTCCACCTCCATGACGGTGCTCTTGACTTTCCCTCGCATAGCTGGGGTCATCAGGGCGGCTGAGCGGGCATGTGGTTCGGCCTGCCTGAGGAGTCTTTCGCACATCATGGAGCAAAGAGGGTGAGTGTCAGAGAGGGTGGCAACACGGTACACTGCGCATGTTGCCAACTTCTTCAGCCTAAGGTGGACGGGGATGAGACCTGCTAAGGCCTCAAGACTGCCTGTAGGTGAGGTGCAGAAAGCACCCATGATCCAGAGAGCAGCTTTTCGCTGCATCTGTTTGAGCTGGTTCATGGCACCTTTGTTGCAGGCGCCATCAAAGTACCAGAGACGATAACCATACGTGGCAATAGGAACCACACATGATCTATAAAGGAGGCGCCGCTGTTTAGGCGAGAGACCTCTGGTAGAGTTCCTGAGCATGCACATGGCCTGCACGGTGGTGAATGCCTTGGTGGCATAGTAGCGAATGTGCTCATGGAATGTGAGCCTGTGGTCAAAATAGAAGCCCAAGTACCTCCAACAGGTCTTGGGCCTCAAAGGTGTAGCACCGGTATGCGGGGCATACCCCAAATCCAGCGAGGGATTATAGGCTTCTTCACGACGCGAAAAGTGGACAACTCTGTCTTGTCATGTTCAAGGATGAGTGCAAATGGAGCATGATCTCCATTGTCTGTCAGATCATGTCCCGATCTGCACGGATCTTGATATCGGTCCCGAACTGCCCAGATCTGGGCAATGGACAATTAAACCCGGAAGCGAGGCTGAAAAGTCTTTCATTTCGGACATTCTCCGGGATCTTGTGGCTGTTCCTGTTGCAGCCCCGGCAACGAAGGAAGGCATTGAAGCTTTAGCTGATGCTATTGCGACAGCGTTTTTGGACGTGTGGCTTGCCCACTCGACTGAATCCAAACCTACCAAGCGCTCCAAGTCCTGGTGGACAGACAAGTGCTCGGAAACGTTCGGAGTATATCAGTTGAGCCGTTCGTCACGAATTTGTTCAAATCCAGCTCTGCCATGTATAACTTCTGAAAATCCATTTGAAAGCTGCTGGCCATGGGGAAGATATTTTGATAGATACGAGCGCGTCCACACCTTAACTGAGAGCTTTGAGCCCTTTGCGCCCGAAGCTCGCCCAGGCGATCGGTTACTGGACCGCTATGCGGACCGTCTCCACTTCAACAAGCGTGATCCTACTCAGGATAGGCGTCCGTATCTAGACGAGCTCATCGCGAGAGCGAGGGCCGACCCACTAACAGTACTGGCTGCAACTGATGGCTCTGTCCCTCAGTCCAACCAGTATCAGGCGACTTCGGCTGCCATCATCTACAAGGGGCATCGCGAGCTCAAAAGGACTTGCTATGTCTCTGGCAGAGTTACCGCCCCAGATGCGGAACTCAATGCCATCTCGTGCGCAGTGCGCCTTGCGGTCAAGCAGGCAAACTGCCAACATATTATGGTCTTTACTGACTCTATGGGCTCAGCCCATAGAGCGGTTGACCCCGGCATGCATTCTGGTCAGGCTTTTAGCCTGTCAGTCTGTCGCGCTCTTCAAGAGTGGTTTGAGGCGGATGATCTCCGCCGCATTACCTTCATCTACGTCCCATCTGCACTGCGGTGGGATATTCATGGTGAAGCACACAAGTACGTCACCGAACTCAAAGTCAGGGTTGGACGTCGCAAGACGGATAACTACCCCCGATTTCTCGGGGACATTGCAGCTTTTATGAAGTACAACCCTATGGCGTTTGGCTTCAACCGGGACCCTTCGGGTGTCGGATAATCGTTGTGGGCGGGGGTTGTTCCTCCCTTCGGGGGATTTATGGTGAATTGACACCACCGAGCTCTAGGGTTCGAAGACCTGCGCCCGCCGCTATTTCTTTGCGCTTGCGGCCACTATTGTAGCAAGTCGCGGCGCCGCTAACTCTCTGCGTCTGGTCTCAGGCAGGCGCTTCTCTGGCTTGTCGGCCTTAAGACACCCTGCCACCTCCTGGGTGGTGCTCTCTTATTTCATCTGCGCTGTGTGGCCTCCGAACAGCGTCTGACGGCTCTGGGGTTTAGCGGGGCCTTGATGGTCTCCTCCCCTTATTCCGCGTCACCGTTTTCACTAGGTGGGTCTGGCTTTATGGGAGTTTAGGCGTTTGAGCCATAAGGCTCGTGGTTGGGGGGGCGGACGTCTTTTAGTAGTTTACCTAGTACCCAGGCTGCGTAGTGTACGTGTTTGTAGATAGCGAGCGGGCTGCCATCGAGCACCGCTATATAAATTGTTGAATAAAAAAAAAAAAAAAAAAAAAAAATATTTGATAGATGGAATGACCACTTTGTTGGACCTCCGGACCAGAGGTAAAAGAGAATAGTGAAGAGAGAATCATATGAGCAGCTATAGTCTACAGAGTCCCATTTCAAGCCAAGAGGCATTTCCTGAGACTTATTCTTTGTTTTCTGCCGTTTAGCTGGTTTAGTATCGTTGTCAGAATTCAATTTCCGCTTCACGGTCTGTTTTGCTGCAGTAATAGGATTGGATCCTTGAGCAGGAATGTAGTTAGCAAGCATTTGTTTAGAGTCTTTACTGGCTTTGATAGCAGTAGTCCATTTTGCATCATTGACAGGCTCAATTACCATCATTGGATCAGAGGAGGACCATCGTAGAGCAGAATCAACCTTAATAGGACAGTAGTTTTGTCCCTTCAACTCTCTGTACTGCTTGAGAAGAATTTTACGGAGAGATCCATTGATTTCTTTTGGGAGCTTTCCTAGAAATCTCTGCAGAGTAATCTCATCTAGTAGTTCAAGCTCTCAAAATTCCTGTCTTAGATGGCCTGATGCTCCAGCCTTAATGCACTCATCATCAAATCCCTGAATAATTATTGTACCATCTGCAGTAGACCCTCTAGAAAGTGCTGTATAATATGCCATGTGGTTACGACAGCTGTTTAGATTAACAACATTGAATTTTTGGGTCTTTCCTTGAGATGAGTAGTCTGTCATTGCAAAATTGGGCAATATTGAAACCTGTGAACAATTAATTGTCAATGGCATTTTCAAACCTTTGCATTCAACACTTCCAGATAATCTTGTAAGTGGCACTACATTCTCAGGCAATCCTTCCAGCTGAATAGTAGGGCTGGATTGTCCAGGTGAACAAACAAGGTATCCAAAATCTGCTGGCCACTAGGCCCTACACCAGACTGCCAGCCTGCTACAAAACCTTCTTGGCCTTTGGTGATGCACAGCTTGGTAGCATCGTTGTTGCGAATAATCACAGGCATGCCTAGACACAGCGATAGCTTACCGGCAATGCCTTCAGTAGCAGAATGTCTTAAATTCCAAATTACATCTTGGAGTCTATCTGGAATGGATACCTGCTTTCTCCGCTTTCTTTGCTGCATCAAGCAGAGTTCAACAATATCTGCCTGAGAATTATCACTCATAGTATCGATAGAATAGAAGTGGGTAAGCTGCTGTCCTGTCTCCTCAGCGAATCGTTGACTGCCGAGATGGTTAATCCGGTCTTTCTCAGTGTTAAGGCCTACAATAATGGACACATTGCGGAAATTGCTCCTGCTGATATCAGGTTGGCCAGGTTGCTTTCCAGCAATTCTTGTATGAAGAAAGTCAATATCATCAAGAGTGCATGCTGCATAAGGCATATTTTCCAGTGCAGTTCGGAGCTTCTTGTCTTCTGGAGATTGCATCTTCTGTCTCATATTTTTCTGTAGAATAACCATTGTTGTAATCTGGTGCCACAGAGCCTTTCCAATTGCATTCTGTTGGCCTGCCTCAGTCATTGATGAATCAATGGTAGTACCAACAGTTGCGCTATACAATGCTGCTCCCCGGACAGGTGCTAGCTGGGCAAAATCTCCAGCAAAAATCATATTCACTCCACCAAATGGAGAGTCATAATTGTCTCTTACCTTTGCAAGTTGAGAGCTAATCTTATATATGTCCATGCAAGATACCATTGAGACTTCAACAAGAAATATGTAGTCAGTACCATCAAGACGATCGTGAACTTGAGCTAGCAGCTTATGCTCATTCATTTTCCAGGTACCATCTGACTGAATACCAAGTGCAGAGTGATAAGTTGAACCATTTAATAATGCAGCTGCAGAGCCTGTTGGGGCTAAGATTAGTATTCGATGAGACTCCTTTCTCTTTGCAAAGAACAATATCAATGCTTTAATAACCTGAGACTTGCCTGTACCACCCATACCTCCAAGATACATCTTAAGCTGCTCAACTTTTTGGAGTGTAGCATGATTGGCTACTATACGAAATGCCTGCTCTTGCTCTTCATTCAAGGAGAATTCACTGACGGTCTCATCAATAAAGGTTTGCTCCTCAGCTTGCTTGGCTTTGAATTTCTTATCAATATAAGACATTGGAGAGACAACAACTTCATCTACGTATCCATCTCCAGCCTCAATGTCTTCAGACTTTGATGAACTGCTAGGAAGATGTTCATTCCTTTTACGAAGAATAAGCTGCTTAGCAGTTGCAACAATTATGTTCCACTTGGTACTTGGAATGATATCTTGGAGCTGGATGCTTGAAATATCAATT